GATCATTTTGCTGGCACAGTTTAGGCCCATTTAGAAGGAAAGGTCACTGTAGATCAATACATAGTTACTCTGACTGATCACCTTCATCCTATGATGTAACTTTTCTATCCTGATGGGAGTGGTCACATCCTCCCATCCACAGGACACAAGGGCACACTGAAGAGACTGATGAGTATGAAAATCATATAAATCATAGTATATGGCCTTCAAAGTCACCAGATCTCAACCTAATGGAATACCAATGGGAGATTTTGAACCAGCATGTTAGCTAGTGCTCTTCATCAAAACACTGATGGAGGGAATATCTTTTGGAAGAATTATGGTCCATTCCTCAAGTTTAGGTCTAGAAACTCAAAGAATCTTTGCCAAGGCACACTGAAGATGTTCTGGAGGCTCGTGGTGAACCAACACCTTACTAAGTCACTTTGTTTTCCAGATCTCCAGATGCATTCTTACAAAATATAAGTCCCTAACTGGTTCTTGGAATATCTAATAGAACAGCTCTCAAAACAACCATCCATTTAAATGTTCTTTAGAGAATCAAAAGTGGTTCTACTATGGCATCTCTCCCTTGAATGTAGGAAAAGTGATAAAGAAAAGATATCATTTCCTTTTTTTGTTTACCCTCTCATTTGAAACCATCCTTAACCACTAAACAAAAGGTCTACACAGAGGTTAGGTTAAAAAGTGAAGAGCAAAATAGTGTTAGACACGTCCATTCATATATCGTGGAGAGAGGAGAACAAACAGAAGTATCTGTCTGTACTTTTCACTGTATCCTTTTTCATATACCAACAACAGACAATGAAACATGATCACTTTTCTTGAAGGACCCGTGGCAGTCAGACTCCTTTAAGATGCCATCTTAATTGCGTAAGGAGATACGCTGGGAATTGTCCCTTCTAGAGAAAAGGGAGGCAGCTTTCTTCACTCTGATGCTATGAAGTGAAAGGGAGTCCTGACTCCACACCAGAGGCTCTGAAATGGCATCCGCTCAATCACACACGACCTGCAAATCAGCCACTTCCTACCAGGCCTAATCATGTGTCTCTCACAGTGGAGGCATTTACTCTCAAGCACAGCCATCTAATTGCACTGCACAGCATGGACATTTTTTCAGTAGGGATGCATCCATGTTTACCAAATGAGATCTGACGGTATTTTCCCATGTAAAAAAGTATGTCAGCACATACGTCATTCCTGTTGTACTTTTGCGTATTCTTTTCCCTGTTATGATGCGAGTCGACAAGCCCAGCTTGGACTCTTTCATCAGCCTGGAGCGCATGAAGGCTGTTGGTTTGGGGCTAAGCCTTCAGCCTTATACACTGATCAGGCATGACATTATGACCACCTCCTTGTTTCTACCCTCATTGTCCATTTTATCAGCTCCACTTATTATATAGGTCCACTTTGTAGTTCTACAATTACAGACTAGTCCATCTGTTTCTCTGCATACTTTGTTAGCCCCCTTTTACCCCATTCTTCAGCACTGGTCTGAGTGAATCAGACACAGCAGTGCTGCTGGCGAACACTGTGTCCACTCATAGTCCACTCTATTAGACGCTCCTACCTTGTCTGTCCACCTTGTAGATGTAAAGTCAGAGACGATAGCTCATCTGCTGCTGCACATTTTGTGTTGGTCATCCTCTAGTCCTTCATCAGTGGTCACAGGACACTGCCCAGAGGACACTGTTGGCTGGATGTTTTTGGTTGGTGGACTGTTCTCAGTCCAGCAGTGACACTGAGGTGTTTAAAAACTCCAGCAGCACTGCGGTATCTGATCCACTCAGACCAGCACAACACACACTAACACACCACCACCACATCAGTGTTACTGCAGTGCTGGGAATGATCCACCACCTAAATAGTACCTGCTCTGTGAGGGTCCATGGGGGTCTTGACCACTGAAGAACACGGTACAAGGGGGCTAACAAAGTATGCAGAGAAACAGATGGACTACAGTCTGTAATTGTAGAACTACAAAGTGCACCTATATAGTAAGTGGAGCTCATAAAATGGACAGTGAGAGTAAAAACAAGGAGGTGGTCATAATGTTATGCCTGATCGGTGTATATCCTCCCTCTTGCGTTTCCTTGCTTATTCTCTCACCTGCTAGTCAGCAATTTCCATTCACGTAACTGTAAATGGACACATTTCGCTTACATTTGTGTTAAATGTGGTGAAGATCCATCTCTGACCACCTGTGGTTTGAGTGATCAGATCATAATCTGGACACAGTGCGTCCTGCATATGGCTTTTCATGCGGTCAAGAAAAATCTGGACATGATCTGATGACCAAATTACATGATCATGCAAAGTATAAACAGGCCCATACTTTACTTCACTTATCATCAAGTGAAAAAAACAAACTTAGTACACAGGCCAATACAACAAAATGAACTACTGTTTAGTACAGCCGTAATTACAATGAATAAAAGATTTTGAAATGACAAGAATGATTAATTTGGTGGTCAGTCTCCATCTTGTTCTCCAAAATTATCTTTAAAATATGGCCATATTGTATTTCATCACTTTCTGTCACTGTCTGCTTAGTTTTATGGGTTTTTAGAACTTTCCAGGAGTTTCTAGTGAAGCACAGACATCAGTTAACCAGCCAAAACACTTCTAAAGACAAATGCTGTCATCTGGTGGACAGTAGTGAGATTATCTTAAGCTGTGAAAATATATAATGTACTATATCTAAACTACTGCTCGCTATTTTAAAGTGACCATATCCAGCATGTTTCTTGTATTTTTTTTTAATTTTAGTTTGACATGAGGACCATTAATAACATTCATAAGGGTTTTATGTGCCAAATATTAGTAACAATTCATTTTTACATGACCACTTCCCCACATGTCTTTTTCCTATAGACTCATATACACACAAGTGGGTGGGGCTAAACTGCATTAGGCTGAATAAGTGGATAAACATGTTGGTATCACAAAAACAGTAAATTCTTTTGGCCGTTTTTGCAGTTTAGTTTATATATAGAGAGACCGTATGAACTGGAGAGTGAATGGTATGTTTTTGAAACCTTAACCATAGTTATGTACCTATGTCAAACTCTGATTTAAAAACAAGCTTTTCCATAATATTGGCCTTTTGCCGGTCCAAGCACTTATTCCTCTCCAAACAAATCCACTGTTTATGGGAATACAATTCCTGGCAAAAGCTTCCCTGAGCAATGTCTTCTACAAAACATTAACAGCTGTCTTGTTTTGTTGACACAACCACAATTTGTACTACATTAATTACATAATAATATACAGAGTTAAATGGCATTAAGGCTTTAAGCTTTATTCTGTGATACAATATTGGTCTAGCCTAGTCCTGGACTAAACTGCAACACTCATTTTTGAGGCACTACTGAATATCCTTTTCAGACTAGGTTTCTTGATCTGTAACACTGCCCCATGATGTCCAGGTGGTTTTCTATTTTTTGTTAGACATGTGTGCCGTTTCTTTCCGTTTTCTGTTGGAGAACTTTATAAGATTTTACACTTAATGTGTACTGCCATAAAGTTTGTTGACAGTTTGTTAACATTTGTTCCAGCCCAAAAGAACAGCCCATTAGCACCACATGGCACACAAGGTTTTCATTAGACAATTTGAGTATGAGTTCATGCTGCAGACGCTCTTTAAGGCCTACCCTGTGTTACTCATAAAGGGACATGACCGGTCTCAAACCAGTCCTCAGGACCCCTGTAGTTCACATTCCAGCTCACAGTACACCTGAAGCAGGTAATTAGGGGCTATGGAGAGCTAAAGGCCTGTTTAGGGAGATACGATAGAACATGAACTTGAGCTGATTAGGGGTCCTGAAGACTGGTTAAAGCACCTACATCCTATGTTTTTCTGAGCTTTAAGTTTTGGTAGGCAATTATTACTGAGCCTAGAACCAACTACCAACACACCAACACATCTACTTCTAATGTGTCTCTACATTTTCATGTATACATATGTATATCGAGAGTTTTTTCATTTTACTTACATTTGGCAATAATTGTGTTGATGTAATGTATTTATTTGCATCACTGTTTTAATGGCAGTTGCACGAATGCATAGACCAGTGTTTCCTAATTTCATTTTCAATTTATATTGGTCCTTTTTCAGCAGGGAACTCAAGAAGAACCTTATCTAATGACACCACTTCAGGAAAACACGCAAAATCATGCCATGAAGATGGGCCTCCAGAACTTGTGAAATGCCAGCATGGCCTCTATATTCTTCCCTATTCTTCTTTCATTGTTTTTGGTGTTAATAGTTTTAAACTGGCACTCTAAGCTTCACTAGTAAGACCAGTTTATTATCTTTAACAGCTCCAAATGAGGCACAAAGCTCCAAAGAGGAATGAAGAGAGCAAAAGCAAAACAAATAGAAGAGGCAAAAAGGAAACGTGCTGCTGACAAAAATGTGCTTTCCTTCCTCGCCAGCTTCCTATTCCAAACTGGACGTGCAGCAGACTGGACTGTTTTGACTCTGTCCAGACAAACTCCCACCCAAATAACATACATTTATAAGCCTGATATGCTCTGCAGAGTGATATCTATGGAAGTCTATTAATGCCAGGTATAGGAGAAAAATGCTTGGCTGTGATTTTTTTCTGGCAGCAGGATGTCAAAGTTTTGACTTAGTATCTCAAAATAAACACTTATTTTTCCCCAAACTTTGATTTTTTTATGTCAGAATAATGAATTATTTTGACTTGAAATCATTACTTACTTTCTTGAAAACCAATAACAATTAACCAGTTTTAGTCAGGATTTGGTCTTACTAAGCCAAGTCATTTTTTCAAAAGTCTAAGGCAAAATTTCGAACAATGTCCTCATTTCAAGACACGTAGACAATATTTCGATTGGCATTAATTCGAAATACGAAGTTAATAGTCTGACGTATTACCAGAAAACAATGAAGAACACAGAAGAGCCTCAGACAGTTCAGTGAATGGCTGTGATGGTGCAGAAGCCTGAGGTGAATGTAAACTATTCGGGCTGGACGGTGAGGGTCTCAAAGCATTCTGTCTTCATACTGCCCCACAAAGACTCCAGATAAGCCCAAATCCCTACATTTCAGTATGTTTAGCTCAAATGAGAACTAACATGTCGGCGAAGTAAAACGAAAAGGGAAGGAAAATAAAGTGGTGAAGGATAAAGTGGAGAAAGTGTTTGTCTGGAAGTAGGTTAGCCTAGTGCCGCGCTGTTGCTGTTAGCATGCAGCCAGCCAGCCTCTCTCAGCCTGGACCGTCACACTGGAAACTCTGAACTGTTTGGGCTTCAGAGCTGACCGAGGAGGACGTTTCTCCTGTTTCTCCTGGAACAAACTGGACAGCAACAGTGCATCATCCACTCGCCTGTTTAGGGGACAAAAATATGTAGAAATGGATTTTATGAAACTGATCGGAGCCGTTCTGGCCGTTTGTTATCATCCAGGCTGCGCGTTAAGAGGATTCGCTAGTAAGTATGCGGATGTGTAAAATAAGTTATAGAGAAAAGCTAACGGTCAATAGGCCTATTCACTGAGAGCTGTCATGTGAGGGTGGGTGTTTTTGAGCTTGAAACTGTCCTAACATTTAAGGTGTGTGCTGTGCATTAAAGTAAACAACTAGAAAAATAAACGTGCTGCCTTTGTGTTCGGTTAGTCTCTTTCTCAGTGAGCTCAGTGAGTGAGTTTACAGTGCAGGGCTGTTAACGTCTTATGGTTTTGCTAGCTTTGTAGCAAAGTTTGCTATAATGCGTGGGAGTGCGATTTTTTTACGTTTAAGGTCGGAATTAAGTCTGACAAAAAAACATTAGACATTGGAAACTCCTGTTAACTTTACTGCTAGACACGAACTGCAGTCTTGCTTTCTCATATTTCTTTCAATTGGGTGTTAATGCTGAGATTTAGTCAAGGACTAGACCGCTCAACATACACACACACACATAAATATATATATGTGTTGTAAAGATTAATTCACATGATGTGGTGCAAACACTGTAAAAACATTTCAAGTGCAAATGTTTCTGATGGCAGCTTTGATTTTCACTGCTGGTTAATTCATGAAACAGGATTAACTCTGCTAGAAGTTGAAACATTGAGTAGGGGTGGGCGATATCGCAAAAACCACAACATCGCGATACATTTTCATAATACACAAAGTGTATCGCGATGTTTAGGGTTCTTTTTAAATACATCGAAGGTTTGAAAAGTTGGAGCAGACAAAAAGAACCAGTAAAGCCACAATTTAAAAAAATGATAAAAAACTACAAACACGATTTTTATTCAACATTTGACGTACTGTAGTGCTCTAAATCCAGTTAAACAGGACTAACTGTGCTCTCTTTGTAATAAAACATGAAGCTGGTCAGTGTGGACTGTGCAGGACTGATCTATGATGTGCTCAGAAAAGCATAATGCAGGACTGACTGACAATATTACTCAGAAAGCCTTGTTGTGGGACGACGTTATCAACGATATACTCAGAAAGACATGTTGTAGGACTGACATTATCAATGATATGCTCAGAAATCATACTGTAGGACAGACATTATCCACAATATGCTCGGAAATCATACTGTTGGACAGACATCCACAATATGCTTGGAAATCATACTGTTGGACAGACATTATCCATGATATGCTCGGAAATCATACTGTAGGACAGACGTTATCCACAATAAGCTTGGAAATCATACTGTAGGACTGACCTTATCCACGATATACTCAGCCAGGCATACTGTAGGGTAATGTGACATAATTTCTCATCATAACAATAAATATTGTCATATTGCCCATGACTAACTGTGAGATACCTCAAATGATTAAATGTTGTGTCTGTGCCCAATTCTGATGATATATGGTATGTGCTTCAGTTATCTGTGATTTCTTGACTGCATGACAGGTCAGAGGATTTGCCGCCGGGGCACTGAGAAGCCTTGCTATAAGATTTCACACCACCAGGACAGTCGGTTCAGGGTGGGCTTTGAGGAGGCCCGGCGGACGTGCAGGGACGATGATGGAGAGCTGCTCAGCATAGAGACGGAAAACGAGCAGAGGCTGATCGAGAAGTTCATACAGAACTTGCATGTCAGTGATGGGGATTTCTGGATTGGGCTGCAGAGGAATCAGGGCTCAGGAGCTGGAGACTGCTCTTCACAGTATTACTGGCTGGATCATAGCCAGAGCACCTTCAGGTAAGATTTAGGCTGCTGCCTCTTATTTGTAGCCAGGGGCTGTGAACCAGTACCAGTGAAAGGTCGCTCACCCATTTTTCCAATACAAGCAAAGTCTAGACGTCTGCAGAGCACAACTGGCTGAATTAGTGGGGACAGTTCTTCATTACAGACTAGGGATGCACACATCATGAATGGCCAATTCCAATTTCTTTACAGCCTAATTGGCTGATGGCTGACTTTTATTTTTTCATTGTTTATTGTTATTATTTATTTTTTTAGTTTTTAGCCCACACTTTGTAGGGGCTAAATGCACACACTAACACATTTCCAGTACTTTCTATTAACTAAAGTTGCAATATTAATAACATTGTTTGCACTTTAATAGGCACACAAACATTCAGATACAGTCCACTTAAGTGCATTTACGTGGCTCATGTTATTTGCATGGTAAAACTGCATAAAGATCTGCTGATTCCAGTGAATTCTGATTATATATCCCTACTATGGACACCAACTTAACTATGTGCTACTTTGATGTGAAGATTGGCATTTTCACATTTCCTACAGTTTGTTATAGAGGAAACGTCAACGAACAGTAACTATGCTTTGTGATGCAGGATTCATAAGGAGAGGGATTCTTCTATTAGGGATGCCGGATGTGAAATTCTTCACCAATAACTACATTGTTGCCGATACCAATGTTAATAAGGGATAATTTTGCCTTTTTGATTTTAAAAGAGCACATTCACACCATAATCCATACAGGGAGTACAGTGAGCATGAAACAAACTCAGACAAAAGCTCAGTTAAAAAGATAGCAATAATTGGGCACCAAAATTATCCATAATAGAGGACCAATAATATTTTAGTTTTTGCATTTATCTGCAAATAATGTATCAGCTACTGATATGTTGTGCATTCATAGCTTCTGTGCAGTTGTTTGCTTATGTTTGCAACAGTTTGTTGTTTATAGTTTGTGAGTGTTCCCATGTAGTCGCCTGCTAGAATATATTTATCATACAGTTTGGGTCAGTTGATTTGGGTCAGCTTGATACAGTTAATTTGGGTCTGTATCTAGACCATCCTCCACCAGTCAAGAGCTACTGCATTAGGCGTTAATAGGCCTGTATTCAGTGTGAGTTTTGTTATACTAAAAGTTTTGTCATGCACTGAGCCAGCCAAAAACACACAGGTGGACCTGGGTGCACCTGGCCCTCCCACCAACAACTACAGTCACTGAATAGACTTGAGCTAAAAGTGCAAGACCTAGGGCTCGATTTCTATCATCCAAAAAAAAGACATCATCCCTAAGTCATTACAAGACTACTAAACTACTAGACAATTAAACTGCCTTCCACCCCCATCTTCATTGGATTAACGGTATTATATTGCTGAAAATGTCTACTGCTGAAAACTTAATATCTGGCATATCTGAGATTTACACACACAGTCATCAAAATACATCAACGTCCATGAAAAAACAACACAAGTCACAGTAAGATTGTCACATGCTGTTTATATTCATTATGGCTGCAGCTGATGAGTCTAAGTAAGTTTTAATCGGGGCTTTGAATGAAATCTTAATTTTGCATGCATGAGTGTTCTGCGCTCTCATCTGTGAAACTCCAGTGATTTTTTTACTTCATGTACACATACAGAAGTGAGTTGTCCTGTGAGTGACTGTCACACAGGGGAAAACCCCATTGGAAGCTCTTATTTATAGTCTAATCTTTAGTCATTGTGAGGTATTTTTTACAGACCAAAAAAGCAGATGTGTTTTGATCTTCTACATAGGAGGATTTTTCTTTTAGACAGTGCAATTCAAAGCCACAGACACTGAGTAACGGCTCATTCTGCTACAGTGATCATCACTCACTTACGGACATGCATGCAAACCCCTCAGTTTTCAGTAAGACGGATGAACATGCCATTCATGTCAATTATGTTGATTTGATGAGTTTTTTGTTTCGGGAGGAGCACAGCAACAGTTGATCGTCATTATTCAGCCAGCCGACAGATATGTTTCATTTTTATGAGCCAATTAGAACTAAGATATTATAACCGAAAAGTGAAAAAAGAGCCACGTATCGTGACCGGTGAAGTGTGTTTTATTTTCCCATATTTGATTTTCCTTCTTCAGCAGCTTTCCAATGATGGGCAAAAAGTGTTAATATGTGTAAATTAACATTGTTGGCAACCAAGACAATAATTTTTATTTGGTTTTTGTGCCTGAAATTTATGTAGAACATATTGATTTGTGTGGATCAATATAGTTTTCTCCTTGGAACGATGCTGCTGGACCCCAGCTACAGGGGCTTGGTTTCTGAACTTCACCTTTTTCACTGCTCATGAGTTTTCATGTCTGCACAAAAGGTGCTCTAGAGCAGTCCAGGGCTTTGCTCTGGGCATTTAAAGGACTGAACAAAGCACAGGAGCAACCATAATAGAGTAATAGTGTTAATGTGTATATTTTTGAAACTTATTTTGATGTGCTTTTGTTCTGTACAACATCAAAACTTGGACTCTGTGTGAAAAGGCATTGGGCTTTGTTGCCCCACTTTGTCGCAAATAAGAACTGTCCTAGATATACTTAATATGCTACAATGTAAAATATACCACAGTATGATGACCTACGAGTCAAAACTACTGATGTCAGTAGATAGGAGGACCTCTAGTACTTTGTAAGATAAAGATTCAGGAGATAGATGGTATTTTGAATGACTGGTTATACAACATTATTAATGAATGCAGGTTCCATATATGAACCAAGAAACCACATGTGAATCTTTTAACAGTTCACAGCTTCTTCCCTGCTTTCGATGCTCATACTTTAAACAATTAGCTATTTATATAAGCAGAGTCAAGTTTTGGGACAGGGTGTAAACATCAAAAGTTTGATAGCAGCATAAAACAAATATGCTACTGTAGTTTTAATGAATGAAAACGTTAATATTTTGTGGTAATTTTATTCAGGATTTGGCGATTTTTCAAAATTGATCATCCCAGCCCTCATAGTTCCAATGCTAGAGGGTTTAAAAAAGTCTAACACTAAGGCTGCTGTGTGACGTATTGTATTGTCTTTTGCAGGAACTGGCTCTGGAATGAGCCCTCGTGTGGTAATAAGCATTGTGTGGCGCTGTACCACAGGCCCTCCACTAAGAACCGCTACATGTTTAAGTGGAGTGATTCCAACTGCAATACCAAGAACAACTTCATATGCAAGTACTCAGAAGGTGTGACACGTATTATGCTGAAGTTCTGTCTGTTAGTTTAGACTAGTAGGAGATTATATAAGTGAATTATTCGAGAATGTAAGCTCTTCTGTTCCTGTCTGTCTCCTTATGTGTTTAGAAAAGTCTCTGGTTCCTACTCCTGCAGGAAATTCCACTGCTCTCACAGGTACACGCAGCATTGCATGGCCACTGACTTCACTTTCATTCCTCACAGTCTGAATGGAGACTACTTACTTTTATACACACAGTCATGTCACTTTTAAAAAAGGTCTAATTTGCAGTTTTGTCTGTTACCATATACTGTCGTTTGTTTAATTAAATGCAATAAAATTACTATTAAAATACTCAGCAGAAAACGATTTAACACTGGACTTATTCAGTTAATATTAAAAAGAATATCAAGTGTAACCTTAATAATACATTTGACATTTGGCCTTAATATTACTATTTCAGTCTTTCCATAAACAAAACTTTGGTTTGTAAGATAAAGATTCAGACAAAGATTCCATATATGAAGTGTGGGACTTCCCTGCTTCAATGCACATAATTCAACTGATTAGCTATTTATTAAGACCTTTAAAAGCAAAGTCAAGTTTTGGGGCACCAAACGTTTGATAGCACTAATTTAAATGACCATCTTAAAGTCAGTAATATTGGCTGCAAGCAGATGAGAATCACAAGCATACATTATAGTACATGAGGTGCCTGATACATTTTTGTTAACAGATGTTCCAGCTGTTACAGTAATGCTCTTAAGTTGTTTATGCATATTAACAGCCAGCACAGCTGTTAAAGGAGGGCAGATTTACACAGTTTTCCAGATGTAGTCAATCAGCCAAGACAGGTTTGGTGCCCAATTTTTACTTCTTAAGTTTTAAACATTAGCTGCCAGGCTAACGTTGCTAAAAACAGCAGGAGTCAATAGTCACCCAAATATTTTCTGTAAATACATCCCCAAACGTTCTCTCAAACCACCTCCAGGGCTTCACATACTCATTGTGATATGCAGCAGCTTCATTGAACATTACATTTTATGTAAAACCATACTGACAAGCCTGTGCAACCTTAATGTAGGGGGTTTGGGGATTTACAGAAAAGATTTGGGTGACTATTGCCTTCTAGTGTTTGCTAGAAACATTAGCCTCGAAGCTTCAGCACTAAACTAAAGATTTGGACACTAAACATGTCCTGACTGATCAACTACATCTGGTGTAAGTGGAAAACTGTAAATTCGCGGAACATTTCTTGAATTAATTGACACTGTTTCTTTTTTTTCAGATATACCAAAGACTACTCTGAAAACAAAACAGCAGCCTGTCACGTTGGATTATGAAAAAATAAAAACAGGATTCTCCGAATCATCAGGTAATGCGTAGTACCAGTTTAATAACGTGACGTTAGTAACATGTCCTTGTTGCTTTTTGGCTTGTCTGTTTAATACTGTCTGATTTTATTAGGGGTTGATGTCTATTCGTATAATTATTATTATTTCGAGTGTATTCCTTCTCTTAGTGTCTCTTTCAGATGACATCAATGTGTACTACATCCTGCTGGCTACTGTGCCTGTACTGCTGCTGCTGATATTGGTGGTTTCAGGAGTTTTCTGCTACAGAGTCATGACCAGGAAGTGAGTGACGCAGCTTTTAAAGAATAGTTTATAGAAAAATCTAATCAACAGAATCTAAATTTACTCCAAACGAAGTTGAGCAGCCACGACATCATGTCTGACGTTAGCTTGTAGCTAACAAGTAATGGAAGCTTATGGCCGCATATAAATATTGTGTAAACTACATGCCTGAATTGTGTGAAACACTTGCCTCAAAACATGCCAGTTTATGTCTTTGTGCTTTGATACTTATTGGCAAGCAAAAGCAAACAGTGGCCACCAATGACTGTCTTGGCTGACTGACTAAATTTGGGGTAAGAGGGAAAATAAATTTGACTTTTGTCCAAACCATGGCTTTGCGCTACCATCTGCGTACACATGGTTGTCCGATAGAAGTGGCCAATATGAAAATATTTATCTCTGATAAGTTGATTTTTTGAGCATATCATGGATATCATCAGTACTTAAAGAGCGCTGACCAACTGCATGCTTCATTACAAAGAGAGCATAAATAGTCATAATTAGTTCAATCTAGTCCAGCATTGTAAGTGAAATGTTGAATAAAAATCATTGTATTTATAGTTTACTTAAAGCTGCACTATGTCAGATTTTGTTAAAATTGCAAGAAGTAGCATTACTGAGTCACAAGGATAAAACACTGAAATATGGTGTGCACTGCTGTGAGTCACTCCATAAAGCCTGAAATAATCATTTAAAAGTCAGAGGTGTTGGATCGGATTTCATGGAAGTTTTTCAGACCGCATCATTCATCTTTACATATTAGCGTCACATAGACTGAAAATGAAGGTTCGGCTCAATGTTTAAGTCTCAAATGCAAAATCAACATTATACTCGTGAAGATATGATGACAACAGTGGGTAGTTCGCTCACATCCTTGGAAGACACGTCCTTCACCAAGTTTTAACTGGGTCCTCTTTGAATACTCTTTCAATGCGCTTGCAATCATCAGATTCATCCACTTGCGGAAGGGGTCTGAATCACAACCTACGTTACAAAACACCTTGCAATTAACATTTCACAAGAGAGGTCTCCAAATAGTGCAGCTTAACTAAATATTGTGATACGTATCGCATATTATGAAAATGTCTGCAAGTGTCATGATTGTATTTTCTTCAAGTATATTGTTTTCTTGCTCTGTCTTTGCAGGAAGAAGGAGCAAAACGACATCTACGCTGTGCCTGGACAGTGGGTATCTGCTGGGGCCCTTAAAAACTGTAGCCACACTCCCACAGACAGCCCCAACCAGCATGGGGCCCACCTGGAATACATGAGCTCAGAAATCAGCAGAACATTTATTGTCAGGGGGCTCAGGAGCCGCTTTGAGGACTATGAGAATGTGCCAAGCAGTACGGCGGGATTCGTCACTAACGACATCTATGAAGCCTGCCGCAGTCCAGCAGCCGTTGAGGCAGGATGGGTGGAAAACGACATCTATGGGTACTGAGGATACTAAAGCTGTGCATTGATGGGACCAAAGCTGTGTTACCACTTTTCAACCTGGCTGTGCCCTCCTGGAACTCGCATCAGACCTTCTTTACTTCTGTTCTTGCTCCTGACTCTAATATGCCCTACAGTGACGGACACAGTGGTCATGTGAAGGGGCGTCGTTTTCGGTGGACAGTAGGCCCAGGTCTCCAAAACCCAGTACAAAGAAGAGGTGTCATCGCCTCGTAGCTTCCTCTGTGGACACCAGTGTCCGGGAACAGGACAGTCAGTTCGGAAACTCTCACGATAGTGCCCTGACCCTTCTGCTCATCTGAACAATGTCCAGTCCCGCCTCAGAGAGGGCCTTCTCCAACGGATGCCCATTGAAGTGCCTTTTGTTATTCAAACTCTAATGATTCTGGAATGGTCTCCAAGTGCAAAGGCAAAAACAGAGACAGTTTTGCTTAGCTGGGATATTCCGAACTGCTAAAGAAATCCTGCTCACAACACCCTAAAACTGTAAATGTTTCATCTTTTTCCTTTTTTGCTTTGAGATAATGCTGAGTGAAACATTGTCACAATTTCCTTTTGACTGTTCTGAGAAGTGTTCGTAACAGTTAGGATAAGGAATTCGGCTTTGAGATTCAAAGAAGCGATTTCTATGTATATATGTAAATATATTCTGTCATTTATCTTCAAAGATTTTACAGTATATGTGGGATGAATGATTGGTCTTTTGCTTCCAAAATCCATCTCTATGGTTGGTGGTACTATATAAACTTTCAACATGTCAGTCTTTCCTCATCATCTCATCAGTGCATCCACAAGGTTTGTAACAACAGCCAGTTTCTCAAGGAGGCACTTGGACTATATCTATCGGACTACACTAACCAATGCTTTTCACTGACACTCATATGTAATGTTTACAGTCAGTTTATGGCAAGCTATTAAATGGTTTATGGTGATCGTTTAGATGTAGTTAATTATGAAAATTGGCTGATCTTATAGCAGTATTATATACATAAGACATACTTCAGATAGATGTGTTGAAATTAATGTTATAGCATTTAATCGTACTTAAAAAAATAATAGACAGCTTGCAATCGCTGGTTGATCAGGTATTTAATGTTTGTGGCTATCAGTATGCTTGCCTTGACCAAATTACTGTCTGTTACAAAATTATTGTGTGGTTTTGTAAAATACTGTCTTCTGACAAAAGAGCGAAAGGGCAGAATGTAGTGTCGATGCATGTTACATAACCGAAGACTGCAATAATGTGCTCTGCCAGCAGATGTCACTGTTTGATAACAGACCCTTTTCAGTGTGAAGTCGATTGTCCTCTAAGTTGTCTAAGAGGTGAATGCTTATAGACTGATACACTTTTTATATGCTATAGTGCATTTTATACTGATGTGTTTGAACTGTATACATTAGTCTTCAGCAAATGGAGGCACTGTAATTTCACAACAGTGGATATTATACAATACTAATTGAACTAATGTACAAGAACTTCAGCGTCCCATGTACTTAAGTCAAATGTTGATGTACTTTTACTTTTCTGAGCATCTTAAATTATAATTTTACTCATGATCAAATGCATTTGTGAGGGATTGTTATTCAGTTCTACTTTATTCATTCACTAGGTCCTAAATGTTTTTTTTTGTTCAGTTCTGTACTGCTTTACTGTTGCTCACACATTTCACTATCGAGCTTTAGCATTTTATTTTACACTGAAAGTGAAGAATAGTGCCTAGCTTCAGTTCTTGTGCTGATAAATAACGTATGTGTCAAGACGTTTCACTGCTATTCTCTAAGCAACTCAGTATTTGAAGAGTTGTTTTTCACTTCTACTTAAGTTTGTCTCATTTACTTCTGTTTGACTCAATATTTATTATTTTACGAAGGGGAACGCCACCATTTTTTTTAAATGGTACGTAATTAAATGGTTGAGATGTAAACAGAGTCATTCAGAGTGGTTTGGTGTGAAACGCTCTGCTCTAGAGAAACTTGCCAAGTCAGTTGTTCACAGTGGTGGTGATAGGAACCAGACGTCTGAAAAGTTTAACGTCTCTAAAAGCTCCCTCACAGAAAGTTATTACATAAAGTGGTTAGATATATGCTACCTTAAGTCTGAGACATCGTTCTGAGACAAATGTATTTGAATCCATTTACTTTAATCCATTCATGGCGGAGGGGTACACGCAGGACGCTGTAAGGCAAAATAGTCCCCAAAGAAAATGGAAGACTTTTACCATCATCAACATTACATATAAGACAGAAGACACGTGTGGGTTCACTGGTGGTTTTGGTTAGTAAATAAAATGGCTATATTTGTGTTGTAAACATTGCGACCCCTGGTTCCCATCACCACCCCTGTAAAGAAATCTGAGTTTCTCTACAGTGAGCCATTTTTACGTCAAACCACTGAATGACTGTTTACATCTTAAGGACTGAATTATTGCTCGGATGACCTCAGATACTTGTTAATTTGGCTAATTAAATGTTGTCTCACTGAGCAGCTGTGCCCGTTTTGGTGCTATTATATCTGCTGAGTGCTGAAACTGAAGTCGTGGCCTGTCAGGTTTAACTTGCCCGGGGCTAAACTGACGAAAGCTCTGCTTCGCTATGGCCAGGTAGACTCTCATATACACAAGTTATACAATGTGGGTTTCGGCGACTAAACTCGCTTCCCGAAAGCACACGTTGAATGAGTGTGTCCTAATCTCGACTCCCAATCTGTCGAGCACGATAAATAAATCAATTTAACCGAAATTACTGCTGACCGGACTTCGTAGCCTGCTGAGCAAGAAAACACCGGCGATGTCCGGCTCGTGGATGAATCATTCTTTCGAACCGGTTCGCTTCAATAAATCGGTTGAACTGATTTCATCACATGAGTAGAACTTTTCGTAGTATTAAACATTTTGTTTACACAGTTTAGCCTCATACAATACCACATTGTATCATACGAACAACTGGCGTCTCTTCAGTCTATGTATTTTTCCCCAATCAGTCCGGCTCCAGCGGCGACACCAGACTCACTCGCTGAACCGAATCTCACCGTGACTCGTGAATCAACTAATCGTTTAATCGGACGGACAGTTCGAAGGAGTCAGAGTCGGTTCGGCTGAAAACTGAATCGACCTTCCAGTCACCAGCAGTCCAGCGGCTTTGTGTGTGTTTTTTCCTTTTTCTTTTTCAGAACTGTTAAAGCTGCCCGCTGACGTAAGACGTGGCTGCGGTCGCCCTTGGCAACGAATTGGCACCGAAGCGAGGAACGGCTTGAAAGCCCCGCCCCCTCTACAAATACCCCCATAGGCTCTGACGTCAATGTCACGTCAACGGAGAGAACACGACGCCTCCTCGCGCGAGTCCAACTCGTGCGCTCGCTCGCGCTAATGGAGCTGAAACGTTAGAGCTCTATTGTATCTGAGAGAGGAGGGGGAGAAAGAGAAAGAGAGAGAGGGCTGGCGTGACACTTTCTCAGTCCTCCTGAACGGCTCCTTTCTGCTCAGTGGACCAGCGAGCGCGCTGTCCGGCGGTCCGCGAGTCTTATTTACTCTGTGTTTATGCGAATAAACGCGTTTTAGCGGCAGGAGGAGCAGGAGGAGGAGGGGAGGGGGGTCGCTCAGCTCGTTATCTTGACTCGGGGCTGTCTGTCTGTGAGTGTGTGTGTGTGTTTGTGTGTGTGTGGCAGGGCTTCTATCTCCCCAATCCCCCAGCGCTGCTACCAAACAGCATGGTCATGGCTGACTGTCACCAAAAAGCAGCGCTCCGGGCTCCGGTCCGCGTGGGCTTCTACGACATCGAGCGCACTCTCGGCAAGGGCAACTTCGCCGTCGTGAAGCTGGCGAGGCACCGGATTACCAAGACCGAGGTGAGTGTGAGAGAGAGACTGAGAGCCGAACACGCCTGTGGGGAAAACTTCTCAAGTTTGGGTTGTTGTCGCTGCTGCTGCACATTTCCGTTGCGAGAACATATCGAGTTCCTCACAGAACAGCAGAGCAGCAGGTTGTCACAAAGCCACACGTGTGAAACAGTGCAGTCGCCTGCCTGCCTGCGCTCTCTGACCTTTGCTCAGGTGTATACTGGTGTGGTAAAGTCACTGGTGCGCATTCAGGGGGGGCGTGGGGGGCATATCCTTTCCACTTTATGAAATTGTGTCAGATCAATATCAGTGAGATCAAGAGCTGTTAGATATTAAATATTATATAGCTGTCAGTTACAGTTTGAAACTCTAATTATACCCAAAATAGATAGTAGTTTCATTTAGTTATAGATAATAACCACAAACAGAGAGAAGCACTAATCTCTCCTGGAATCATTTCAACACGTCTTGTTGTGATTAACAGTTGTTAATAGTTCTTAATTATCATCACATTTATCATTATTGAGGTATTTTGCTAAAATATCTACAGTAACATGCAGATAAGGCTGAGAATTTTAGTGAAAAATGTCACTGTACTGAATATGTTTGATGTTATGAATCCTGATAACAACATTATTTGTTTTTGCATTTTGAAGTTGACGTCAAAGCATGAGATATCAGTATGATTAAGTGTAATTGTATGCATGCTTTGGTTACACAGTTTCATGTTCGAGTTGCTGTAGGTAGGCTTGATGTTGCCACCTGTCAGCCCAAATTTGCACATTTAGGTGTAGTGCACTGAGGTGGGCTTTTCCCTGGCCTTTCTTTTGTGGTATGACAAGAATCTTATGGGCCCCTTATATGCAAATACCTTTCAGTCAATAAAAAATGACATTGTAATTTGCTTGTTTTAAACATGTTGATGCTTTGCAGTCATGCCATTCCATGCACTGGTATACAACATTAACCTAAATGTTTATGTTGGTCTACTTATGTAAAATTGAAAAATAAAAAGCAATGAAGGATCCATGGATGAGATGCATGATGAATAAGAGGGAGATAAATAGATGTCAGGGCTGTTTGGAAGCTAGCTGGTGTATGTTGTATGTTGTAGTCAGTGGGTATACAATTGTGTCGATATCTATATGAATACAACCAAGATTATAGGGCCATGGGCCCCAGTGTGATACCTCACCGTCCTCGAGTAGCTACACCTCTGTTTGCAGCTGCTTCTGGAGAACAGGTTTGAGATATAAGAACATTATAAGAATGCAAACCTCGCCCTCACTCACTGTTCACTCCCAGCAGGTTATAGTGAAATATGCCCAGCGTGTGAAAAGCACTTAGGTCAAACGCATGACCTTATTGTTAGTTCTTGCAGAAGTGATAGTGGGCTTTACGTGTGCAAGTGGATATGTGGAGCATGCTGCTGAATTGTGCCCTGGTTGCGTAACCAGCAATAGTGATTTTGTGATAATACGCCTTCCGTCACAAGCATACCTGGTGCCCATGTTCGTCTGCATGCCCTCATTGAGCAGCTGAAGCCTTTTTGTGCAATGGTTCAGAGACATATTGTCTAAGCCCTGAGCTTTATTTTTTGCAATTTTGATTACATCAAATACAAAGAATGCATTTTTATTACAGTATGACATTTTTTACGCAGCCATCGGATCCCTTTTGGGTTCCAGACAAGTCTGCCGAAACAGCATCTGCGGAGAAGATGTTGAATTTCACAGGGGAGCAATGTGTCAGGGAATTAACATAGTTAAGAGGATTATGTTGTACAGGGCTGACGTCTCTCTTGCTGCTCTTGACGTGACTCACACTAACGTGGGGCTGCTTGGTTTTTGTTGGAGAGGTACCGTTCCTTCATCCTCTCGTGTAATAGCCTGGTCTTCTTCACTTGCATGGATGACTTGAACACTGGCTTTCACTAGCAGGAGCTGAGTGCTTGTTGAAGAAGATCGCTCCACGCCTCGTGCCAGCGATGTCCATGACCTCAGAGGGCATTCAGTGGTCAGCTGGACAAGTCACCTCACTTACTGCTAGTGATAACTAGCTGGCTGTGCATAGTTCCGTTTGTGGCAGCATGATTAGCAGAATTCTAGTGAAAGTGTTTGTGTCACGATATCTCACGTTATGTGTTTAGACTGTTTTTGAAACTCAGTTCTGGGGAATTTCAGTTCAGTTCAAAATCTGGGACAAATTTAGGGCCTTAAAGGGATACAGTCAGCTCAAGCCTTAGAAATCGAGAGCTTTTGCTTTTGTTTTGCTATACTTTTCAAATGTAATTGTACATTTTATTACATGGTGAGTTACATAATGAATTGCATTTACATTTGAGTTATTATCTGTATTGAGATCTTCACTGTGTTTGTTTTGATGTCAAGAAATGACACAAATGTGGCAAAAATATAAAGGATGTTTTTTTTCTGCTAAGGAAGACTGTAAAAAACAATAATTTCCATCATATTTAAATTACAATACAGCATATCTGCTTCTACTTAGCAACATAATTATGGTATCAGTTGAAAGTTTAAAATTCACATTTTCAACAGGATGTCTTTGATTGTTAAATGAGCTACAAGCGAGAAGCAGTTAACAGTGAATAAAACGGTGCGTGTGTTATCTTGTGATAACTGTGTGAACTCCTTGAACTCTAGACTGATTATTCAGTTATTGTCTTTAAAGGGGAATTACGCTGATTCATAATGTCTATATAATTCA